AGCAAACCTAGGTGGCCACAGTAGTGAATTTAAGTGCTTTACTAAACTTAAAAGTACTTCACTGAGGAGCAGATGAAAAGCACTGAAGTATAAATAATAGCTAATGAAACCAAACAATATTTTGGTGCAAGGTTTACTGTGAATAAACTAAAAACACCACAGGCATTACCTACGCTTCAGAGATTAAATGCTTTAAAAAGTGCTGGTGCATCCAAAACTGGGAACACCAGCAGGCACACAGATTCTGGAGGAGGGAAACAATTCCACAACACCGATCTTCTTTTACTAGTCTCCCATTATATGAATTATGATATCCCATCAGAAAGCTGGATGTAGCCCCGTAATTCTCCATCGTGCTTGCTTCTGTTAACAAAGCTGATGGAAACTATAATCTCATCTCTCACATCTCCTGCTATTTTTTTCCTCTATGTGTTAGCTCATGTATTAATGCAACATTCCCCAAAAACCAAGAGAGATCAGCATTCCTTCTTCTCATTGCACTTGTTCAACACAAGCTTGCAGCCTGCTGTGTTCTCAGGTATATTATTCAGAGACTCTCTTGCATCTGGCAGATAGCTGGGCTGGGGATGAAATCTTTGATCCAAGTCCTGCTTTGTCTTTGCAGGGACAGTGGCAGGTGTTTGTGTACACCATGGGACACAGACTGTGTGTGTCCCTCTTCTTGCTGGCTGTGATAAATCTGGGTAAAAGGAGCAGCCTGTATCCAAACACCCTGGTACTGACAGCAGCCCAGCTTATGAAGAGTGGCTCCTTGAGCCCCTTGATAGAAGCTGCTTGATTTGTAACAAGTGTGGGTCACCTCTGGGAGTAAATTGTGAGTTGGTTGCCACCCCAGAGCTGGTTTTGTTGCACAAGAGGAAATACCTTTTGTTTTGAAGCTGGTCCTCCTGAGGTGCTCCTGTGTCTTAGGCGTGGTGCCAGCTGGGTGTTCATCACTGCCCACGGTGTGTCACACACAGACTTTCTCCCAGCAATGCCAGTTGGCCCAGACAGTTCCTCGGAGCACAGTGTGTCTGCTACACGTGTGTGTGGTAACATGCCCACACATGGATCTCCACAGTTGCACCTATTACAGTGAAGTCTTAAGAAAAACAACGCCCTGCAGAGTGACAGTAAAGGTTCTTTGTAATCAAAACTGTATTTAGAGATCAAGAAAATTCAGTTCTGTATTCTAAAAAGATGACAAATCAACATTATATTTTAAAGGACCTGATAACTTCATCCTATACCTGCTACTTTCTGGTCAGGTGGAGTCGCACATGCATAGTCCCTGTGAATCTGCAGCCAGCCAGTGAAGTCCCCACTGAAGGCCACTGCATGGGTAGATGAATATAAGAGAGCTCTCCAATGTGTTAGGAAATACATCTTTGTACAGATGTTTGTGAAAACTTGCTGCTAAGTTGTACATCATGGTAACAAGTTTTTATAGGTCAATTTCAATTCCTTAGCTAAAATGTCCTTCATTCTCTCACCTTCTCCTCAGGCAGATTTATCGTGACACATTGGAGACATGTAGGGTTGCTTACTGAAACAGTTCTTATATCTTGGTCTGCAGCAAGCACCTTTTGTGCTGATTTCTCAACAAGTCTCTCATGAGATGGTTGAATTCCTTAGCCTCTGAACATAACTAGAATAAGAATGGTATTATTAAAATGTAGATAAAATCCACCTGTTTGATGCAAAAAAAAAAGAGATCATCAGAGAAGACTTTATTTAAATGAAAAGTAATGAAAACACATGGACATCAACACACTGTGCTAGGAAATTTTTCAAAATGTCTCATAAACAGTTTACTCAACACCAAGGTACTATGCTAATCAACTAATTGATTGGTACAGCAAGGTACAGCACTAATCTAAACATCAGAAATAAAAAAAAAAAAATTAAGCTGTCACCACCACTTTCCCTTTCTCTATTCCTGATGCAATGCATAGAGATAGCAACTATCTCTAGCTCTGTTTTTGTTGCCTGGAAGTGGGAACCAAATGCTTGTGTTGATGAGAACCTGCTGAAAATGGATTATTGCCAAGAGAATTAACATGGCACCTTAAGTATGAAAACAGGAACTTGGATATAGAATTGTTTATGCATGGTTGTGTCTCTTTCTTTGTTTGTTTTAGTTGCAGTGAAGAGTGACTATAGAATACTGTGTAGTGCTAAACTTATATACAAGATTTCTCGAGAACAAGGCAACTGTAAAACTTTAAACCTCAGTGACGATGATTAAGCTACTGGAAGAAAACTAAAAGTATTGTTCAAAATCTGTGCTGAAACTGATTCTGTTATAGAGCTGGATACTTCTGGTCCTCTACCAGCTCTATTCAGCACAGAAAGTTGGTCTGTAACTGCTGTCCCAGCATCACCTCTAGCAGGTGAAAATGTTCCTGCCAGGGCTGCTTCAGCCGTGGCTGATGAGCTCCTGGGCAGCCTGACCTCTTGGGTCTGGTGAGCAGACTTGCCTTCAGTCCCAACAAATGACTGCTCTTATTAACTGATAGGACTTTTTTTCCTATTCATGACATCTAAATGCTTTGTAGTTCTAATTCAGTGTTTGAGAGTGCTTTTTTGGGGGGAATTTATGAACTCTTTGATGCTTTCTTCTCTTTACACAGAGGAATTAAATGTGGGATATTTAAATGTCTGTGTGCTTGGTACACTGAAAGAAAAACTTCAGTGGCTGTGGTACTTTGTCTTATTCTAACATGCTGAATCCCATTGTGATATTGGTTTCTGGTTTTAGAAACAGTCTTCCCTTGGTATCTCTGAAAGGTTTTTTCTAGGCATGCTGAAAAATGGATCTCAATAAAGAAGGGGAAAAAGAAGAATGGAGAGGAGAAATTCTGCTGGCTGGTTTTCACAAGAATGGAAGTTTGGCAAATAAGGCCCAAGGCACTCTAAGGAAAAGAGATGTGAGGTAAGTGTTCACAGATGCTACCAAACATTCACTGTTCCTTAGCCAGGAAATACTGCTGCTCCACACGGGCTTACATCAAACACCACAGAGGGCATAGCAGAGTGCTCTATGAGGTCCTAAAGTTTGGATCACATTCTCCCCCAGCTGACACATCTCCCATCATTCACGTTTACTGTCTGAAAAGGAGGTTTTTAGACCAACATAAATTGAGTTGCCTCATGCTGCCTGTAAAGTGTTGCATGTGTTTCCTTAATTATAGAGTGTTCTTGGTTCTGCCTTGTGTTAGGCTCTTCAAAATCAGGTGACACAGACATGGCCTGTCTTCCAGGCTACGTGGGTGACTTGGTCTTTCAATACAGGATAATGCCACCCCTGTCACCACCTGCTCTGTGCCCCAGACACTGAGAAGGCAGCTCTGCACTGTACCTGGCTCCTGAAGGATGAGGTAGGATGTGCTGTGCCATAGGCAGCAAGAGCTGCACTGTGAAAAAAACCCCATGTTCCCCAAAGCAGCAGCTCTGCACATAAGTCGTGGTACTTGTGCATGGGCAGGGGTATCTGCTGTACCAGGGGTCCCAGGAGTGCAGCTGGGTGGCTCTGGCATTGCTGCTGCTTGGGAGCTCTGCAAATGCTTCCCATCGTTGAACCTGCTGATTCCATGCCACTGTTTTCATCTGGCTAGGGAGTAATAAAATACAACAGGCCCTAATAATACTAAATTCAGTCAAAGGATCCAACCCAAACCTCCAGTGACTTTCCTGCCACTAAGGCTGCTCTCTTAGTGCCCTGTGCCAAGTTAGGTCTTGTCTCACTGTTGTTCAAGAAGCTGCTTAGTGCCACCATCTTAGGTGACATCTAGGGGACATCTCTCATATCCTAGCTGGCTTGGCAACATCACCTGTATGGACATCAGAGTCCAAAGAAAACATTCTTATTTGGGCCTACAGGTGTGAAAGTCATGTTGCTTCCTTGGGTAATGTCAGAAAAATAGCAACCCTCAGTACCCATGGAGAGGCACCTCTTCTGAATTATGTATTCAGACCTGAGGAAGGACCAGGCTCAGGCTACACATTCTTTTATAGTCTCATCACCAAGACAAGTGTGCTGTCCTGGGGTTAAGCTCTGGGATCCCTCAGGGCACAGTCACAGACCTGCAGGACCTGCGGTGCCCGGGATGACTGCTTGCAGTTGGCCAGTGGCAAAGTGGATGCAGGCAACTCCCAGCCACTGCTACTGGCAGTTTTGCCTGCTTGTTATTTTGATGGGGTTTTTGTTTGTTAGGGTTTGGTTGGGGGATTGTTTGTTTGTTTGTT